AATGTGGAAAAACTAACCATGTTTGAACATTTGAATTGATTCAATTCTCAAATTCAGAGGCAAACTGAGATCAACTGGAATTTGACATTGTCAGTGTCTCATTCCAGAGGCACATCTATACAAAAGACATTTAACATCTGGCCTTTGTCGAATATTTCACAATGATTGCACCATTTTGAAATATTGCCCTGGAGAAATTTGGCAGACATCCCAGAGGCCAAATCCGTTTTCTTGTTATAATCAGGAATTAATTGCACTGGGCCAAAAGATGAAGAATTTGTTTGGTCCCAGTTTTCTTGCAGCTAAAAACAAGGATCCAGGTGGGTCAGCCTGAAAGCTCACCTAGCCCAAGATCCTGCTTCTCACAGGAGCCATCTAGATGTTTTTAGTAAACTCCTCAAGCAGAACATGACTACAATAGCACCTTCCCTTGCCCTTACTTCAGACGTGACATCGAGAGCCTATACTTGTGAACCTGACAATCACAAACACCATCATGACTCAGGCATCGATATCTTTCTCCGCTATGAATCGGCATCATCTCCTTTTAAGGCTAAGTTGGGACAGTCAGCCCTTCCCATCTTGCTGGAACAAATTCCAATCCTTTGCTATCTATACTGCGGAGAATAGCGAGAATAGTGCTCAGTTTTATCTTCCGTGAATCTCGCTTCATTCAGTTTACTGGATAACCTTTTGGGGATAAAATTATAAAGTGGAAATAACCCTTCATCCTATCAAATTTCTCTATAATGTGTATCGTTTTATGCATACTTTGTATCTTCCTTTTTTCTGATGCTGAAAAGCTTGACATGCCATTCTTCATGGAAAGTTACTTCTGCCCCTAAAATCATTTTAGTTCCTTTTTCACTATGTCTATTCCATCTCTTCAGTATTCTTTTCCAAGTAACAGTCTGTACTATTTATAATGTGGTTGTATCACACATTTGTATAAAGGCGGCTTTAATTTTAATTTCTTTCCTGGTTATTCTAAGAATTTTTTAATGGATTTTTCTTCAGTAGCATTCTTCTCTTATATCCTTAATAATTTTTAACAGTGGTTTCTATTAGCCATTAAACTATCCAGCCTATAGTTTCCTGGATAATCCCTAGAACTTTCTGAGAAATGATCTGGTGATTTGACTAATTGTAATTTTATAAAAAGATCGGAATTTTGTTTCTTAACACTACTTTTTATAGGCAAGTCCATTTTGAAAATGTCAGTTATATTTGTGCCACATTTTCTGTGACAGATACAAAGAAGTCATTCAGCATCTTTTCAATCACTTAGGATATTTTTAACAGACTCCACAGCCAACCTCTTGTGAAATAGTTTCTTGTTTCATGCATGCACACACACAAACACACACACACACAGGCATTTTGTATTTCCTTTTATTCCCTATTCTATTTATTCAGCTTATAAAAATAACTATAATGGCCACAAATACATCTCAGTAATAATACCAAAGCATCCACTGAAACATATTAAATTAGACAAATCAAAATCATCCACTACAATATATTAAGCCTAATCATCAATCAAAAAAAGCCTTTCAGAAAAGCTTGAAAAATCCTTTTTTCCCTGATCTGTATGAATGCAAATAGAGGAAGATCTTTTTTAAAAATAAAGAAGAGTTTATAAGCTGTTAAGAAAGAAGAAAAAGCCTTAAGAAAAAAGCCTTTCCTTTTGTATTCAAAAATTCCCATCTGGGAATATACCATCAACCATTCTAACTTGAATTTTTATAGTTGAAAAACATTGCTATTTTCCTTCTTCTCCCTGGAAGATCTCTCTATTGTGATTTCATCCCACGCCTAAGTCTCAGTCCAATCCAACTTATCTCTGTTTGTTGCAGACAAAAACTGAGGAGTCCTATGTCTACTTTCTTAAGATAATGGATGAAAGGTGAGACATAAATCTTAATGAATTAACTCACAGTCCCAAAGCTCACACAGAGCAGGGCAACTAGTGGATTTAATTTTTTTTCTCTCCCATTCTTGGTTTAATTATGAAGGTTATAAGTTAGGTAGCAGGGAACTACAGATAGTCCTTGACTTATGACCATAACTGAGCCCAGAATTTATATTGCTAAATGAGTAATTTATTAAGTAGGTTTTGCCCCATGTTACGAATCTTCTTGCCACATTTGTTAAGTGAGTCACTGCAGTTGTTAAATTAGTAACACAATTGTTAAGTGAATCTGGCTTCCCCATTGACTTTGCTTGTCAGAAGGTCATAAAAGGTGATCACACGACACCAGGACAACCGTCATAAATATGAACCAGTTGCCAAGCATCTGAACGTAAATCATATGGCTAAAGGGATGCTGCAATAGTCATAAGTGAGGAAAATGGTCATGTCCCTTTTTTCAGTGTCACTGAACTTTGAACAGTCACTAAATGAAGTGTTGTAAGTCAAGGACTTACAATATTTGATGCACAACATGCATCAATGGTTTGTTTTCAACCATTCCTGAAATTTCCTACTATCTACTGAATGCTTGCAGGCTAGTCTAAAAAACGTCTTCCATTGGCATTTCATGCAAATCAAAACAATGTTGAGGCTCTTCTTCTGCCAAGGGACACTATCTAGCATTTATAAAGAAGTCCAAACTTTCTTTTAACGTGTCGAAATAGAGCTTGTGGAGCAGCAGGGAAGGCATTTTGACCATTCTCTACCATACTTATTATGGGGAAAGGAACATGGTTCAATGACTGAGCACATACTATATAGGCAGAAAGCCCAAGATTCAGACTCTAGCAGCTTCACTTAAGAGAATTAATAATCCATATGATGTAAAATTCTCTGCTGGATAATTTTTCTACTCAGCAGATTATAATCAGACAAGAATCTTCAATTAGGAACACTACCATCCTAAGAAGCCAGTGGTTTCTACAGGAGGAAGCCAAAAAAAAAAAAAATGGGGGAGGGAGAATAAGGGGAAGGGAAACTTGTCAGAAAAGTGAAGTGGGAAAAGGTTTTCTCAGGCAATTTGGGCTAAAACCCAATGAGGAACACTTGCCCACTTGCACAAAAACGTGAGTAATAAACGATATTTTCCGAAGTGGAGAATTCTTACAAAACTTCCTCATGTGCTGTTTGTTTTTCAATGTCCCCAAAGCTGTGAGAAGTACGCCATGCATTTTGCACTCTCAGAAAAAGTGAATGGAAAGCAATCCAGGTCATCACATCAAAATTGTTGGAAAAATATTCACTAGGGAAAAGAAGAGGAAGTAAAGATACCTACATATATCTGGTGATTCATCAGAGCCATCTGGACAGTCCTTCTCTCCATCACATCTCCAGCCCTTGGATATACACGTGATCTGATCTTTACATGCAAATTGTTTGGGGCTACANAGAGCCTATCTCTTATTTAGATTATACTGATAAACTGTAAGCTAATAATTAATCTCTTCCTTGGGGAATATTCACTTTGATTTACTTATGCTTTTCATGACAGTGGGTTTTTTAAAAGTATGATTCTCTGTCTTGAACTCTCTTCAAATATTTTTCCAACTATTTACATAAGCCTTGCAGGAAGATAGAAGGATGGACTGAAGTAACGTTTAACAAAAAAAAAGTATCTGTGTCCTTCAGTATATACAACTTTTTATTGTCTGTTTCTGGCTTACATTTCCTATTTTCATCTGAATCACTTCATTTTCCTCTTAATTTATGCTGTTTTTACACCTTGCTCCCTCTTAAATGCCTTTTATAATGTTATTTACAGAAGAATGAAATTACGACCCAGTCAAGGTTGTATACAAATGCATATAAAGCATAGTGGTATGACCTCTGTTACAGATATGTACAGTACATCTAAAGAGTAGTAAATATAATATGTTTGATTAGCAATACAGTAAGAATTAACAGGAATTTTGACTTCCTCTTTTTCAGAGGAAATAGTAATCTTGAAATAATTTCTAAGCACGTGTCTGAAAGCTAATTATTCTGAGCTGTTATTCATTTATTAGATGTTTTGTTTTATACTGAGCAAAAACCAAAATTAGAAATGACAGTAATATACACTATTCCTTCAATACTCTTCTGTGTATTTTTAAGTGTACGACTTCATTTTCTCATTTTAAAAAAATGTGATGATTCCGATCTTTTCCCACCTCGTTTCACTGTACAGACATTACTCTGCTTACAAACAGATTACGTTCCGAGAGGCTGTTCACAAGCCTGTTTTGTTCACAAGTCCAAACTAGTGTAAAAAAAACATGTCCAGTAGAGTACTTACCTTACATAAGTGACACAGCATCATGGTAAAACCTGATAGTTATGGTGATGGTGTTGGCTCATCCTTTGAAGTTGATGCAGCAGGTTTTCTACTTTCTGGAAGTGAATTTGGGGTAGTGGTCTTCCTCTTTTCTTCATAGAGGACACTGTAGCAGCAGATCGCATGGAGGGCAGACATTCTGGTGAAGTGCTCAAGATTAGGGTCCTGCATCTTGCACAATTGACAGCACTTTCTTCGTCAAGCTGAATAGCTCAAGCTTGGTCTGGGATCACTTCAATGGTTCAATCTCTTCTTCTCCTTTTCCTCCTCCTCTTCTTTTTTTTTTTGCTGACTTTCCATGAGGTTGAATTATAAAGTCAGGAGAAGACAGGAAAAGATTGGCTTCCTGCATGCTGCAGTACCGATGTGGCACATTGGAAACTAATCCTTTCCCAACTTCTCTTGACGTCTGGGACCTTCTAAGATGGACTTGTGGACCGGTTTGTTCACATCAGTCAACATTCACAACTCAAAAGTTTGTATGTAGAGTAATATCTATATCTCTTTACATATATTTAGTTACTATTAATTGTGCTTCTTTGATCACTTGCTCTCCTACTAATAGCAAGAATAACTTTTACTTTTCTTCTTAACCCAATCAAAATTATCTCAGTCTTTTTGCTGCCAGGTCACAATGGCAGCTTGTATCTGATTTTTTTTTTTTAACACCAAGAATTCCTAATTAGCTGGCATTTACCCAACTGTACAACTTACCTCTACAGTGTGCGCCTTCATCTGAAGCATCTGCGCAGTCACGTTCGCCATTGCAAAGCTTTGTCATGGGTATGCAACGATCAGTCCCCAGGCAGTTGTAATAGTTTGGATGGCATATCGACACCCTGCTATGTGGACCTGAAAAATAGGAAGAGCCATTGCCATTATGAGGGTCTCCAAGGGTCTCGGCACAAATATTTTATAGAAGATCCTAGAAAAAGGAATAGAGCCTCATGTGTATAGATGATGCTTAGACACATACTGTGCGTTCCTTTATATCTAGAAAACAGAATGCATGCGATCATATAATTACTAAGGAAATGAATGTGAGAATACAAACAGGCATAATGCTAGTCTTCACTCCAAGTGACCTGAGTGAAACGCAGGCACAATTATTCTATTCCTGGTAAATGTTAGTTTAAAGCAGGGGTGTCAAACTCAATTTCATTGANAATAAAAAAATACAAGAGCTTCCTTGCTTTCCCTACCTTTCAGGACACGCCTGTACGTTACTAACACTCCTTTTTCTACATTCATCTGTTCCCAGACTGTCTATTTAGGCTGCAGGTCAACCTATTTTTTTGATCCTTTTCCAAATGGAGATAGAAGGCACTGAACGTAGCATTTTCTTCTTGCTGAAAAAGTATATGATCTTCCAGAAAACAAGTTTTAATTATTCAGGAGAAAAACTCTGAACAAAGTCCAGACATCCTTGTTGCCTGTTATCAAGATGCAAAGCTCCCATCACAGTATTTCCTCCAGTCTCCTCAATACCCACAAACTGTCAATCTCTTTTAGCAAATACACTTCTAGAAAAAATAACGGGCGGCAGAGGAGGAGAAAGAAGAAGAAAGATAAGGAAGGAATCTGCAATAAGCTGATCCCAGAATGAATAAATAACTGTTCTCCAAAAAAGCTATAGTTAGTCCTCGACCTATGACCACAATTGAGCCCAACATTTCTGTTGCTAAGTGAGACATTTGTTAATTGAATTTTGCCCTATTTTATGGCCTTTCTTGTCTCAGTGGTTGTGAATCATTGCAGTTGATAAGTTAGTAACCTGATTGTTAAGTGAACCTGGCTTCCCCCATAGATTTTTCCTATCAGATGTTCGCAAAAGAGGATCACATGACCTTGGGATACAGCAACAGTCATAAATATGAATCTGTTGCCAAGCATCTGAATTTTGATCAGTGGTGCTGGAAATGTCATAACTGTGACAAATGGTCATCACTTTTTTCAATGCCATTGTAACTTTGAACAGTCACTAAGCGAACTGATGTACTTTGAGGACTACCAGTACTACCAGCCTTTGTGAGTGGGTCCTGTGGAAAAAAGCTCCTACACTGCGGAGGAATGGATTATATAGTGATATCATATGTCACATTTCCCCAACACGAGTGCCCTAACCCATCTTAAAGGAAATGTAAAGTAAAGGTAAAGGTTCCCCTTGCACATGCGTGCTAGTCGTTCCTGACTCTAGGGGGCGAGGCTCATCTCTGTTTCAAAGCCGATGAGCCAGCGCTGTCTGAAGACATCTTTGTGATCATGCAGCCGATATGACTAAATGCCGACGGCGCACGCAACGCTGTTACCTTACTCCCAAAGGTGGTTCCTATTTTTCTACTTGCATTTTTACATGCTTTCGAACTGCTTGGTTGGCAGAAGCTGGGACAAGCAACGGGAGCTCACTCCGTTATGTGGCGCTAGGGATTCGAACCGCCGAACTGCTGACCTTTCTGATCGACAAGCTCAGCATCTTAGCCACTGAGCCACCGCATCCCTGTTAAAGGAAATATAGCTTTCACTTTTTTAAAAAAAAGTGTAGACCTGGATTCCTAGAAAGTAGCAAGATTATTTCCAAGAACCACACTATTATGCTAATGAATGAAGGCTTAAGGGCCAGTTTAATGATCTGTCTGCTTTCATTCTGCGGAGGACTGAAACATATGCAAGGCTGGAAGCAGGAAAACAGTTATAAATAATAATGACATTACCCTGCTAGCAGAAACATGCTAGAAGAAAAACCAGACCTCAGGGGGGATATCCATCCAATCCCTGATCAGAATTCTTAAGCAGTTACAGTACTAAAAAGGTTGTGTCATATTATTTTCCTCAAAGATATACGCTGTTCCTCGAAGAACATTGAATAGGCGGTCACAGGATTCATCTTCAAATAATTAACATGAGATGTTTCTATTATCACAGGAATCAATTTGTAGCCAACAAGGCATTTGCATACAAGTATATCATGTTTGCATTAGTATCTGAAAATGAGTAGCTCAGGATCCAACCCAGGCATAGAATATACACCTTCCCAAACTGGAGTTCCTGCCCCCAAATACTACACCAGATATTCACTAAACATAAAGCAAAAACTGCTCACTTGAGGATGAAGATCAGAAAGGGACATTCCAAGTATTTATATTAAGCCTGGCTTCTATTACTAGACCAGTGTTTCTCAACCTTGGCAACTTGAAGATGTCCCGACTTCAACTTCCAGAATTCCCCAGCCAGCGAATGCTGGCTGGGGAATTCTGGAAGTTGAAGTCCGGACATCTTCAAGTTGTCAAGGTTGAGAAACACTGTACTAGACACTATGTCAGTGATGGAGAACCTCCGGCATGTGCATGCCAGAGCACCAGAAATCCAAAGACTAGCTGGCTGGTGCTATATGTGTGCACCGGGCAGCTGGCCTATGGGTTTCTGGCATTCCGGCGCACAAGAAGACCAGCTGGCCGGAGCGAGCAGCTAGTGACGGTGCGCATGTCCACAGAAAGGGCTCTATGTGCCACCTCTGGCACGCCTGCCATAGGTTCGCCATCATGGCACTATGTTATGTCAAGCAATGGGGATGGTTCTAATATATTTGCTTCCTAGTTATGGAGAGGGGAAGACA